GCCATACATAAAAATAATTTCTCTACTTTCTAACCATATTCCTGCAAATAAGCTCCTTTGTAGTAGTTGATCCATGATTAAATTTTTAGGGATTTCCCCTCCCGCGAATAATTTTTTTAGAGGTCCTTTTGAATGCTTGTAAAAAAAGAAAAAAATACTTTGTTCTTGGCATGTGCTTACGTTTGGCAGCTGCAATACATGCGCTATAATTTAAAAAGAGAACACATTTTTATTGTTTAATATTTAATATTATTTGTTTAATATTATCTACCTCATTGATGTGGATCTGAGCCACATCAATGAGGTAGATTTGGGCGGTGCATGTAGTTCAGAGCAATCCATCAGGAAGCCACTACAGAACGAAGAGAGATTCAATCTGATTCAACAACTTGTTACTAGTCTTGCTGCAGGTATGAAAAAAAATCAGATTCATTACATATTTAGCCACTCGAAAACTTCGATGCTACCAAAAAAAAAGTTTCTTGTTATACAGAAAAAAGTATTTAGACATGAAAAATATTCAAAATTATGACAAAAAGGCATCAATTTTAACAATTCTTATTGGGCCAGATTATTATAATGAATAAATCCCGTTTCTCGGACCAAAGACGTCGATTAAGTCATGTAGCTATAAAGGGCTTAATCGAGTTATTTTCTCAATTATTAACTTCAAAAAATATTGTAAAAATGTATATATTGAATTAATCATATGTTAATGCAGATTTTTGTATGGTTATTAAAATATACGTTGTTATAAAAATGTGATTGTGTGTATTTCTCATGGTAAATAAAATATTTAACTCTCCTTCTTTATCATTTGTTAGTACTCAGATAATAAATCAGAAAAAATTATCGTCCGGAATAATTTTCTATCAAATCTTTCAATACTTATTTCTGGGGTACTTTTAACAGTCTCGCAGTCATATATCAGAACTGGCTTTATAATAGCATTGTACACCTCACTTTCTTTAGATTTCAATACCTTGTAACAGGTAGACTTTTAAGAGAAGTATTTTTGCGAAATAAACTGAAGAAGCAATCACTATGTATTATTGTTATATTTTTCAATTAACCTATTTTCAATGTGTAATTATTAATACAACTGTTACAAACTTTGAAAAGAAAAGAAAGCTCTGTTTGCCCTTGTTTTATGTCTATGGTCAGTTTTCGATCATTGGCCATTCAATGGAGCTATTGTGAACCAGAGGTATTTGAAGTTGTCTACCCTCAGGATTAATTTGCTTTCTACGATAATCCTGTTAATGGAGTAGAATTTTCCGATTATTATCAAATATTTATTTTGTTTTATAAGAAAAAACCAATTTGAAGATTTAAATAATTATTTTTTCATATAACTATACATATTAATAACTATACATACCTTGGTAATGAATAATACCGCCAAGGCTAGGGTGAAGTTTGAAAGCACAACCACGAGGAAAAACGTCATCTGTATATAACTCTTAATATCTCTGGTAAACCTAAACAATATAAGAAATAGTTGGAAAATTGTCATTGAAAAATACATAGTTAAATATAATACAGGAATCATATACTGCATGCCAAATACAATTCTAAATTATTTTTCTCTATAAATTTTTATAAATAACTGTTAGTTTAAGTTATAACAATTACAAGTTATTTTACCTAAATAACAAGGCGAAAACAAAAATTAACCTATAGATTTATAGATGGACCTACGGAATAGAACTGTGGAGGACAGCAAAACTTTCTAACATCAAACGCATTCAATCCTTCCAGTCTAAAATCCTACGAACAATAGTCGATGCTCCCTTCTATGTAACCAACAAAACCCTCCATAATGACCTTCATATCCCATTTGTTATTGACCTAATTCCAGACAAATTTCACCAGAAACTCACTCATCATCCAAATCCTGTAGCACAATCCCTATCTAGCTCCAGCCATCCCTACAATCCTCCCCGGAGGTTAAAATGGCAGTGGCCCCGCGACCTTTTGTTAATATGTATATATTGGCGTACTGGCAATGGCCAGATTCTCCACTCCAGACATGAGCGTCTGTTGCTATAGTGCAATCCTAGTAAAAAAACAAAAAAAATCTGAAGTAGAGGTAACTGTTAGTAATAGTTTTCAGGCTCTAGCTAATACAGATGAACATTGCCAAACCTCAGCTACTAATCCATCACCTAACGCCACTACTAATCCACCTGTATTACTGACGTACATAACTACGCCGCTCTAGTTTCTTACTTGTAAACATATTCAGGACCAAACTCCTTTTTACTTGGAACAACTTCCAAGCTGGTAGCTGTTTACCCTAAGACCCCAAATGATTACAGAAAGTTATTTAACTGTTCGAGAAATAGTGGAGCTGAATTGTGTATAAAATTTAGATGAAATTCCTGGACTGGTTATCAAAGACCTTCACCACAACACCCCAAAGAGATTTAGGAGCATATGGATATCAGATAATCAACGCTATTTAACTCTTCAAACAGCCATTACAGATGTTTTTCGTAAGTAAATCTACCTTCAATGAAAAAATCTTTGAAATTGATAAAATATTTTATACGAAGATTAAAATAAAGGAGGAAAAAAAAACATTCATCAATGCGTAAGATGCCAAAAATATGGCCACACTAGGTCTTATTTGAATCACTCACCGCGGTGCGTTCGATGTGGACAGGAACACGAAAGCTCTACACTGAGTGGAAGTGCGTTAACTGTCAAGGCAACATCCGGCAAATCATCGTGGCTCCCAGATACTTTGATATGTAAGGGAACAGAGGAAAACAAGAAATCACGTTCATCAGAGGACATCACCTTCTCCTGCTACCTTCAAGATTTACCGTCTCCAGCACAACCATCTAGGAGCTTTCGAATCCCAACGTAGAAGCAATATCAGCAGAAATTTCCTGCGCAGCAACAGCAGAAGGCCGCACCCGTGATTGATTGGAAGGGGGGAGAATACTCACATTCAGCCTATTTTTATTATCCTTCAATAGCTCGCAGAAGTAATTCAAGGCATGTATCATTCTAATGCCTGTTAATCAGCTTACTGTAGGCCCCTGTCCATCCTTCTGTGGAATGCAAACGGGCCAATACAACATCGGAAAGAATTGGATATATATTTACACGAAAAACGTATAAGTACCACATTGATAACAGATAACTAAATTACACCACAATCTAAATTTCATATTCCTGGTTATATTACGCATAGAACGAACTTCATGGAGGCCCTTTATACTAATAAAGACATCACTATCACTTAATTCCTTGTACTTACCCACGACACCTGGCATTCTAACCACAGGCTTAATACTACATACCAAACATCACACAATAACATATTGTTTTCCGAGGTACATATTGACATCTTCGATGTTTTGCATATATTTTTAAAGACTTGGGCGTTGCTTCATAGCGGAAATGGACTGGCACAACACAAAACTGAACTGGACTTTTAGCTTCATGAAAAACGTATAGATGTAGCCCTGATAATGGAAACTCACCTTACACCACGATCGAAATTCGATATTTCTGGTTATGTGAAACACAGGACAGATCACCCCGACAACACTGCCCACGGCGGCACTGCTATACTTATAAGATCTTCTTTATCACACAACCATTTACACTTACCAACTACACCTGACATTCAGTCCACAGGCATCACACTATACATGAAACACAACACATTGGCACTAGCTTCCATCTATTGTTCTCCAAGATATATGCTGACATCTTCGATGTTTTGCAACTTCTTCCAAAGCTTAGGTCGATGTTTCATAGCAGGTGGTGACTTCAACGCAAAGCACCAAATTTGGGGGTCACGGCTATGTACACCAAGAGAAAGAAATCTGAGGGCTGCTATCTATGAACTTTCATTTGATACTATATCAGCTGTACACAGACATATTGGCCAACTTCGCGACGGAAAACTCCAGACCTACTAGACTTTTTTATAAATAAAGGACTAGGGACCATGGTCCGTGTAAGGTATGACCTACACCATTAATACAAGCTCTGATCTTTGCTCTGATCATTCCTTTATACACTTAATTATGCTAGATAAGCCAATCAACCTTCCACGAAATCCTAAGCGCATTGGATCCTAAGTGGATTGGGATGCTATTAGGGCAATTCTGGATTCAGAACTTTCAATCGCTGGCTCAATTAAAACTGAAGAAGAACAAGATGATTCAATGGATAAATTTAGCAAAAGTGTTCAAAAAGCTACATGGACTTAATTTCTTTCAGTGCCATCAAGCATTTGCGTAGATACCTTCAGTTATAAAGGACTAGGTCACGGCTAAGAGAAGAACTCGTAAAGTACGGCAGACTAACAGACTTCCTTCAGATAAATGAACATTTAACAGACTGAATAACGAACTTAAAGGACTAATACAAAGATTCTTTGCAACCCACTACGATGCTTACTTGAACAGCCAATCGACTTTGTGACAAAACCAAGAATTTGTTAAAGCATCGCGGTATCAGTAAGTGACAAGAATTAATGTGTGAAAACAAATAATAAAAGTAATTCCATAAGGTTATGCACAGTTATGTTCATTTATAATTTATATAAATTCGTATTTTAAATTAGAATACTAGGTAGTTACAACGGAATAACAACAAAACAATGGTTACTCGAAATAAAAAATAACTGTTTTCGGTTAAACCAACCGGTTATTACCATCCCCATGGTTTACACATTCCGACCAGTGTTCGAGCTTTTATTTTATTTTATTTTTACTTAATGGCTCTGAATCAAAGATTTTGTGGAAATTGAACATTGAAAATTTGCCAAAACTGAATACTTGTCTACTTTTATATTTCGAAAACCTATTACCTCGTCATTTCTGGCATGTTTGTTCTCCGTGAAACCGCCACGAAATAAATTTTAACCCACCCTGGCCCAATTCAACCGAACCTGTGCCGGATCGAATATTTTCTCAACCTAGTATCAGTAGGAGAATAAAAAAAAATAAGAATAAAAAATAGCAATTGTACGCTTACCTCAACAGAACGTGATGATGGCGAACGTTCTCTCTTAAGCACTCGAGCAGGCAATCTTGGAACTCCTTCTGTTGGTAAAGCATCTCCACCTTCTGTCTTGGCCCCGCCTTGCCACGTAAATACCTTCGCAACGCTCTATCCACAACGTTACTAATCGACAGGTTCAATATCTCGAATTGCGCCTTCAATTGCTTAAGCAAACTGATGTATATTTCGTAAATGCATACGGTCACCACACAGATCCAGTACATAATTGCCACGTTGGTCATGTAGGCGACCGTGAACGTTAGAACAGAACTAGTATCGAACGGTACATAAAAAGGAATTGGCAAATAAGGGTTGATGGGGATACTGGAAGGTCTCTTCTTGTACAAGCTCTCGATATATTTCTTGGCCGTATTGAACAATAAGAAAGAAAAGCCAGAGGAAACGGTCATTCTTCTGAGCCATTTGTTTACTAGACGAATATTTCGCACATAGTTTCTCCTTATTTCGTGTTGTCTTTCATCTAAGTCTTTTTCGTATGTATAGAAACCTTTGTTGAAGATTTCCAAGACGGGCTCGAAATCGCTTTTGAGTTTGTTGGTCAAATGAGATAAAGCATAGAAAACAAGGATAGCCATGTGAAGAGTTTCTAGCATCTTAGTTTTATCTCCTATTATTAAAACGAAGGAGTACAAACCCGCGCACATTTCGTAAAAGAGAAACAACCAAACGATCAAAGCATATGACAAACCAAGATAACGTTTCAGTTTTGACGAGTTACTTATTTTGAAGCACGACATCATCATCTGGAGCTCTCTTTCTTTGTCGAAATTGTAGATAACTTCCCTGTCAACGACTTGTGGTTTCGCATTTCCTTCCATTTCTAGTTAATAAACAGGATGTTCACCGATGTATTGCTAAAAGTACATGAATTTTAAAATTATTTTTACCTTGTTTTTGTGAAATTAAAAATATATTAGTACTAGTATACCCCACTGAAAAATATCACATTCGAATGCAATCCTTTTATCTAATGCATTCCACTTACAGTGACATCTCGAGTACGAGACATTTTTGGACTTTAAAATATAGTTCTCAATGTCACTTATACTTAACTTTAATCTGATTACGGATGACATGCAACAAGCATGTTTAAATAAAATGGCTTAATAGCCGAAACGTAGCTAATGTAGACTGAAGTAAATATGTTGAAGAAATAATAAAACATAACCTTATTTTATATTTCTCGATATAGTTTCAACTTGTCCTCGTTAATATATTCAAAACAAAAATTATCGTATTTCGATCCTTTCAGTTTTGGAACCATCTGAATTTGTAAATCTCAATTCCTTCTTTATGATTTGTATTGTAGTTTTAATAAGGTATTAAGTTGCGAATTTGTCATTCGTCAATTTTCCATGAAATTCTCATTCATTCGATAACTCATTCATTAAAATCCATCGCTCCTACGAGCCGGGATTTTTAATACCTTATAGTACATGTATATGTAACTTGCTGGTAAGAAGTTAACCGCAGTGATATTTTTAGAAAGTAGAGATGGAACCCCAATTTCCCGCCGTACTATTTCCATCCTGAAACCGTTTAACTATCAACGTTATCTTCTTCCGTTCAAAACCCGTCAACCCTTGGTCTCATCTCTTGTTGTCTTCGACTATGGCTGTATGGTTTATGGAGAGAACTCGAAGCTGAACTTGATAAACGTCTAATGAATTGCTTAATCCGCTTTATCTTCGGGATCTCAAGGGATACGCATATTACCCAGTTCTACACCGAGTTGAAGTAGCTTTATCCTATCGACGTCAATATTTCCTTGCTACCTTCCTATACCAGGCCATTAGAACTCGTCAACCCACCGTTCTTCTACAGATCCTACAATTCGAACGCTCCTTTCAATACCGTCCCACCAGATCCCGTACGTCCGACTTCTATCCTTCTCCTCACCGAGCTGCTGCGTTTGACAAATCCTTTTTAATTCAAATTTTCTCCCTTTGGAACTATTTACCCTCAGATATTCGACACGCAAAGTCAGTATCCTCTTTCAAATCTCTCCTCTTCAAACCCCTACTCCATTCCCAATCCCAGTGATCACGAAATCCACTTAAAGAACTAAGCTTTAAGAATCTCAAAGTACACTTTGATTATTTTGTGATTCATTGGTATTTGTTTACTTAATTTATTTTCTTTGATTATTTTATATTTATACACGTTTTTATATCTTTTTATTATCTATAATTTTATTGTATTCCTAATCATCCTGTAAATATTTGATTGTATTTTATGGACTCACCAGAATATTAATACATGTTCTGTACTTGTAACTTATTCTAAATGGCGCTATTCTCAAAATAAAAAATTATTTTATTCATTCATATATATATATATGTATCATACCCTGAAAATGATGCAGTAGCTTTGTGAGAATTAAAATATGTGATGAATAATTTTGTTTGAAATCTATTTGCTAAATATCTACCGAAAACTCCCTTATTTTTGTAATATAACTTCTATAACGGATATCAATCATTTGCCGAAACGCTATCGAGTGCAACAACAAATCGAATAGAAAACCCAGAGCTCTTATTTATTTTTTGAAGTTCTTATTTCTTATGTTTATGGCTAATTAAAAAAAAATCTATGTTCACTTCCGCAAATCAGTTTTTGAATTCTACCTGGTATAAAATTTTTGAGTTATTTTAGTCTAAATATTCAAAACAGTAATTCTCATTCGATTTTTTGGCAATATCGTTTTCTATTTTCGACCCTGACCTGATTGATTCGACCACCACTTCTCGTTTTTCTAACACGTGTTAAGATAAATTTCAAATAATAGCCCATAATAAAGAAATTTAAATGCTGAACATCACTACTTACAGCATGCAAGTCCGTTTATTAGTTTCTGAGATATTTTAATCCATATGCAAAAACACTTCAATTAGTTGACTCGAGCCTACTTTATAAGCGTTACACATCCGATCCTGACGGCTCAATTTCATTCACTCCCCACAAAAAAAAAAAAAAAAAGTTTTCATTTCAAAAAAATCCATGTAGCAAAATATTGAGAACAGTTATCGTCCATACCCGAATTAAGGTTTAGTTTACATGGTGGCGTCATAAACTGAATTTGTTGGATTACTGGAGGATACAGTTTTATTACTCATTAATTTTCTGATTAGTGTCTGTAGTCAGTTATTTTTTCGACAAACATAATACGAATCGATTATTAATATAGTTTGACCACGATTAGTTGGCAGCACAATGGTGAACTAAGTTAAAACTAATTTCAAGCGAGACTAAGTTAGAACACATTTTTTTTTTCCTTAATTCCATTAGTGTAAAAAATACCTCTTTACATTAGAGAGGAGAGTGCCCGATGCAAAGCGTACAAGAAAAGCAATAAACTAATTTAATGAAACGATTTGAATTGTGGAGGAGGGAGGGAGATTTTTCATTTCAGCTGAGGAATAAGATGAGTAACACACGATGGCTTTGATAAAATTGCTAGCAATTAATTAATATTGTAAGTATTGATCAGGTTCCAATAATAAATCATTGTTAAATAAGAACCAGTGATTTTGTTAACTAGGTATTTACCTAAACTGAAAGTAATGTTTAGGTTATATATTATTTTGGTAATGCAAGAAGGAAGAGAGTAGTCGGAATAATAAATATTTACATAGAAAGATGGTATGTAGTCTTATAGTTTATGTATATGTTTGTAAATATGTTGTAAGCAGCGTTGGATGATAAAAGAAAAACAAAGTGGCAGTTTCTATCTTGTGCCGAATGGGATTTTCCACGGGGTGACGACTTATCCTATAGTACCTTTTATGATCGAAAATAATGATATTTTATACTTATCGATATAATATGAAAACTATTCCGATAATAGGATACAGTCACTATCCTGTTTCATTGTACCTTAAGAACAATATGGTTTAGACGACTACCTTTCTACGACTAAGTTCTGTTTTAAAGGCTAGACCAGTTTAAATAGCTTATCAAAATGTAAAATGTATAATTCACAACTGAAACAACTATTATTTTTTTTTCAACATTGATTATATAGAAGTTGCGGATTACATGAGATCGGGACTTGGCAACTCGAGGCTACGCCGTAATTATGATATTTTTACCTTCCAACTTTTCATAAGTTGATTTATTATTTAAATAAAGAGACAGCTTTCTATAAAATTGGTACCTAGAGTTGAACTGTACTATCATTAGGTTGTTCTATCAATAATTCTGACGAGGCGATTTTTAAACTATTAGTTATAGAACGACAAGCAGCCATATAATAAATGCGCTTACAGTTTAAATAATATCTAACTTTCTCATTAAACATCATCTTCCATAGGTGGGACAACTTTAATTTCACATACCATTATGTAGATAGATAGATAGAAGAATCAACTTTATTCTGGGACTACGTCCCTTGAGAATAACAATATTGTACATAAAATTAAACATTACATCTGGCCAAAATGTATATTACAATAAACAAAAACAAACAAAAAAAAACAACTAAAAAATAAGGGATAAAAGAAGTGTTTACATAACTGTACAGATATCGGAAGCCATAATATGAGAAATAATGTCCTAATACTGCAAAATAGTTGCTATACACAATACGCTATGAAATTATAAATGAGCGACAAATAATAATAAAGATGTTATAGTAATAGTAGTATGTTCGTAGAACCTAATAGTATAATCGAAATACAATAATAGTGTAATCGTACATACACAATATATACACCCAATAATACAATAATAGTGAGAATACAATAATAGTACAATAGTATATATACAATATACATATATTAATATATATATACATATACATACATACACATATACATACATACAATGCAACAATAGTATAATAATTCAATATAGGCTACCCAGCGTCTGATTGAATTGTAAGGAGGAATTGGAAAAGGAGGGTTTTAAATGTGGATAAGGATGGTGCATGGCGGATTTTAAGTTGGATGGAATTCCAAAATGTGGTGGATCGGACAATAAAGGAGTGTTGAAATGAGGCCGATTTGTGGAAAGGGGTATAAAGGTCGGAAGGACGAGATCTTGTGGAGAGGGAGTGGATAGATGACTTGAATTGAAGGAGATTGAATGCGTAGGACGGACGATGATTATAGATTATTTGGTAAAGGAATGTACCTAGGAAGTACTGTCTTCTGAAGGAGGGGAAGAGCCACCCTGACTCGGCGTAGTAGTGGGAAACATGTGATCGTCTCGGGGTCCCATTGACAAATGGTACTAAGCCATTCATTATTCTTTTCAGGCTGACTCCATGTTCCGATGAGAGGCCACCGTACACTACACAGCCGTAGTCAATGTGGGGGAAGATGAGGGCGGATACTAGGAGTCTACGTGTGGATATGGGTAGGAGAGGGCGGAAGCGATGGAAGAGTTTCAGGAGGGAAATTGACCGGCGGGATATGAGGGAAAGATGGTGATTCCAGGAGAGGGTTTGATCTATGATAACACCTAAGTTTTTAACTGAAGTGTTGAAGGTGATGGGTTGGTCATTCAGGTACAGGAGAGGAATGTTGGTATTTGATCTGAGAAGGGGTTTGGAACCGAGGACAATGGCTTGGGTTTTAGCAACGTTTAACCTTAATCCATTTTCACTTGCCCAGGCACAAATCCGATTTAGGTCTTCTTGTATTTTGGCAAACGCATCATGCCATTCAGAGGGAGCGAAGGAGAGGTAAATTTGGGAATCATCGGCATAAAGTATGTAAGTAATATATAAGTATATATGTATGTAATATGTAATATGTAGTAAGAGAAAGTTTGACAATCATGAAAATTTTTTGATTCCGAGTTTTTAATGGAATGT